TAAATAAATTTCAATTTTATTATTTATAATAAGATTTCTCAAAATATTACATATTTTAAAATTAACATTAAAATATTTACATGCCATTGTAAACTTTAAATAGAAACTTAATCAAAATTATTACAATCATTAATGTAATTTAAATCTTAGCAGAATAATTTTTCCTTACAATAAAACTGAAAATATGATGCTAGGATGAATCAATCTTTTTTTATTTTTTATTTTCACTTCCTAAAAAATAATTATAAGGGAGTATTCTCTACCTCCACCAAATCTTTATTTTATAAAATAAGAAAATAATACAAAAAATATTATCTCATACAATATGCACCAAAATAAGAGCAATTCATTTGTAAAATTTTATCCAAAAGTCATCAAGAAACCAACTCTTATACTCAACCAAATTTGATTATACCATTCTTGAATTTATGTCACTTCAATCATTTCAACTCCAATAGATCCATCATTTATCAGTACTTTTAATATTCATATGCCCTTAAATCACCGTCAACATGCTTTTCTTAGTCATGAAAGACTTACGTTGGCATGGACAATCACTGTAACACCCCTCACTTTGCTACAATATTTTGACCCTTCCTTATGTTCTCTCAATTTTGTTTGTTTCCTAATATCCTGCTTTTTTGTTATTTGAATAACTTGTGAGATGTATAAAAGTTGTTTAGTTGCCTTTCTTTTTGAACTTTTGATTTATTTGCATGCTAAAATGTTTATTTAGAGGATATACTCTATTTAATGCATGTTTGGATGGCTGTACAGTACTCTTACAATCCTCACATAAAACCTCAAAATTTGCCTTAACCACCTAAGTTGAGGAAGGAAAAATTAGCCACAAAGGATAATTGCCTATCTTAGTGTAAAAGTACTTTTTTGGATAGTTTAAGGATTGCATTGCAAAGCCCCATCATTCATGATTTTAGTCTTACAAATTTATGTGTAAAACTTTCCAAAAAGTCCAACATTCTTTGCTAAATTTAGATTGGCATTCAATGGTTAGTAGCCTAGAAAAACATGAGACAACACCTAGTCTTTTCAACCATCATTCCTCACACCAAAATCATGCCACCTCCCTTCTTACCCAATCAAAATGCATGAAAGCTGATTTCTCAAGATTCCACTCAAATTTTTGCAGTATTGTTATATGTAAATAGTTTTAGGAATGTTCCAAAATCTTACCTTGCATACTGGCAAAATGACATATCTAAAGACCAAGAAATCTCTTGAAAAATTGCAACATATCAATATGTCTTATCCAACTTCCACAAGGTCATTTCATCATACCCTTGTCTAATAGAATTTCATGCAAGTTGCACCAAAAATCCACTTTGGATTCTCATGCCATTGACCTCGGTTTTGGAGCTAGGGAGCTAGATAATACTATTGGCCATTTGCAAAATATCCTAAGGCACTTAGAAATAAAACACTTCCCTTTATTTCTAAGAGAAAAACTAAGAACAACGCCCTCTATCAAAGAGTCACACCTTGCATTTCCATATTATAATTACCTAGTATTTCCTCTTCCAAATTCAGTTCTTACTTGTTTTTTCTTCAAAATTGAGAAACAACCTCACTTGGAGAAAGATCAAGGACTCACACTTGTTATTTTTCTCACGGTCCAGCAACTTGATTGGATTTCAGCACCTTGTTCTCCTCTCAAACTCCTTCATTTTCAAAAAAAAATCCAAGGCAAGGGGGAGTCCTCACCTTTTCTTCTTAGAATATTTTTAATATAACATGGCATGTGTAAATCTAGAGCTCATCTCTTGCAGATTTCTTGATTTAATGATGCATGCAACCATAGTTTGCTTTTTAAAATGTCTCGGTTACCCTACCTAAAGAAGTCTTTTCCCTTGGATAAACTTTATATTCCTTGGTGCTGAGTTCAAAGGAATTGCATGTGACTCTTGTTTCCTTTTGTATGTCTCAATTGCTATGACTTGAAGTATGTATAGCTTTAGATTTATCATGTTAAGCAAAATTCAATTAGAGATTTGTTTACCATGAAAATTGCAGATTGTAAATAAATAAATCCAAGAGCAATCTAGGGACTGGATTTTAGGTCCTCTTGGGTTCTTTTAAGTGTGATGTTAATGTGATAATGAATGAGACATCGCAAAGCAAATAATAGAGCAAAAGTAATAACCAGATGATGATAAAATATTGAACTGAATGTAAAAATTTTACACCAATGTACTGAATAAGACTAAAATTGCAAGAACTAAATGTAGAACAAACTGAAAGTAACGATTGTAAGTCTCTTGGTAGCTGGTGTCTGACTCAGTGCAAAATTTTAGCATGCAAAGAGTTTTGGGTGCCAAAAAGTCATCCCTTGGGAAAGTAGCTTTGTAACATTTATAGATGATGCTCCTCAATTGTTATCCTACTTTTGTGGGCACTTTCTGATAACTGCTTACTGTGTGTGACAACCCTCAATTATTGCTGCCCATTACTTGCAACTGTTTATGATCGTGCTGATGATTGTGGTTTCTCAATAACCGTTGTTCCCCACGTTTGTTTCTTCATGCCCCCACGATCTTTTCTTTGTGTCTTTGGTCTTTAATTAGTGGTAACTGCTGGTATCCGCTTTGAAGTTTGTTCGAGCCTTGTGATTTTTTGTCATTTTCCTGCCCTCTGGAATTCTTCCTTGCACCTTAACCATAGAGTAAATTTCTTATTATGTTTTGACAATTGGGGGAAACTTATCGAAAAACTCTTGTGGACTTAGAGTAATTTTACCCTAAGTTTCTACTTTTCGACCAATTTTGAGAGAAATCTAAAAGCTCTTTAGTCTTGTGGACTTGGAATAATTTTACCCTCAAATCCTTTTTCGACCAATTCTGGAGAAAATCTGGGAACTCATTTAGTATTGTGGATTTAGAATAGTTTCCTTGTCTATCCCTATTTTTTGACCAATTCTGAGGGAAGTATGGGAACTCATTCAATCTTGTAAACTTAAAATAATTTTCTTTTCAGTTTCTACTTTTCGACCAATTTTGAGGGAAATATCAGATCTCATTCAGTCTTGTGAACTTAGAATATTTTCTTTGTTAGTTCCTACTTTTTGACCAATTTTGAGAAAAATTTGATATCTCATTCAATCTTGTGCACTTAGAATATTTTTCCTGTGTCCCTATTATTTGACTAGTTTTTGTTATTTTCAGTTCAGAGACTGGAAAATTCCCAGAAACTCCTCAAAAGGCCACTCTCTTTTTGATCAAAATTGGGCCTCTTCATGTTTTGTTAAAACTGCTCGAAATATGACATTCTTGATGTGGCTCTGTGATTCTCTAAATCTCCTCGAAATGTAGCCTTCTGTTCAACAAATAATGAGGCCTCATAACCCTCCAAAACATCTCGAAACGTAGCCTTCAACAAAGAATAAGGCTCTTTTGCTAGTCTTCATAGAAATTAGTCAAAAAGGTAGTTCCTTTGACAAGTTTTGGACTTAAATTTTTTACAATCTCCTAACTTGTCGTGGTAAAAGGATCTATGATTCTCTTTGATTTTTTAGTTGAAAACTATGTCCATGTCACTGAACTTCGATACGTATTTCTCCTTGAAAGAACGTAGCTTATTTCCTAACACAAAAGTCTTGTAAGGGACTTTATAACATAGAAAATTTTTCTTTCTCCAAACAAAATTCAATTAAGCAATTAAACCTCAATCAATCAAAGTCATATATAGAATTGGGAGAAGAAGAGGATTAGGTCAAAGAATTGGAACAATTCAAGAACAATGCCTTAGATTCCTATGATTAGAATGTCAACTCAGTGAATTAATCCAAAGGTTTAGCTTTCCATGATAATGAAATTCAAAAGTGAAACGAAAAGCATAACAAAAATTCAAGGAAATATAAAGAAAGAAACATTAAAAAATGAAAACCGTACAATTGAGCCTTAAAATTTGCTCCCAAAGATCTCTCTCTATCCCTTTAAGAGAATAGAAAAGAAAAAAATAAAATAAGAAAAGATCCTCTTAATTTTGAGTTTCTAATTATTTATAAATTTTATGTACTTCTAGTATAATCACTTCTGGTTATTTATAAACGTGTACGTACAATTCTCAGTTGAAATCCTCTTCTATCAATTCTTTCTTCAACTTATTGACATAAAAAAGAAAGACTAATTACATTGGTTTTTTTCAAGTAAAATTTATGTTAAATCGATGGTTGAAGGGCATATAATACTCTCCTACGACTTTTTATAATAAAAATAAATTATAAATTAATTAACTGATGATATTAAGGGTATCATATAGCAGTGAGTCTTGAGAGCACTGCAATCACTTTTGTTTTTATTGATGAACCATTATTTTGTCTTTCATTAAGTAACTTCAACCTTTTAGTAAATAAATCAATATTCAAAATTTTGATTGAGAGGCCGTATTCAAAAATGCATTTTGTACAATTTGGTCATAAAAGAAAAACACTGAATAGGACGAAGATATTATCTACTTGCTAGAAAATCATTGAAATATATGAGAAGTTTCATGAGTCTAGATTTGAACTTAATGTGTTTTTATTTGTATCTAAGATAATCATTTTCAATATATTTGTTTATTTATTTTTAATAATTATTATTAAATTATTTTTTAATTTTTTTAATAAAAAATAATTATTAATATAGATACATCAAATCATACAAAATATATGATATATTATATTAACAAATAATTAAATTAATATAGATACGTTTTCTAATATTTATATTCTACAAATGATTTAATTTTTATTAAATAAAACTATATTAAAGTAAGAAAAAAGTTTTAAAACAATTGAAAAGTTATTTATGTTTAGATCCTTATCAATTATTATTATCATATCTTTATGAATTTAAAAAACTCTTAATTTTTAACTTTACAGACAAAATCACTTTTAACACAGTTTTTGTTGATGAATAATAATATTGTTTCGTAGTGAAAACAACTATACGTTCAATGATGAATTACAGTGAAAAATTGAATCAACAAGACAAATGGGTCTGGAAATTAAGGAAATGTAGTAATTTTAATTATAAAGAAAGCGTTAGGTCTAAATCATCATCACATGCTTTATTTTTGCTTCCATTTTCATCCAGTGGCGCAGCTGCACTTGCTTCTGCTGAATCTTTGTCTACCCCATCCTTTGTCTCTTTCCCTGAAGGACCAGTAGCTTCAGTAGCAGGTGCAGGTGCAGGCATAATATTAATCCTCACCAAATCTTCATCGTCGATGAAATCTTCTGGTTGAAACGTTGGTTTCCAAACACCCTTTGCTTTCTCTTCTTCTTTCTCTTTGCAGAGGCGATCGCGCACATCTTTCGTGCTCTTTATCAGCGCAAAGAACTTCTCCATCTGCACTTCTTCACTCTCTTCTTCTTTCTCTATTTTTCTCTTCCTTCTCTCTCCCTCCATTTTTATTCTCAGTTTCAACTATGCCCGATATAGGAAGAGAACATACATGAAAGTATTAGTCACTCACTCCCTCATCTTTTTTATCTTTTGCCTTATTACTTGGTGGACGGTAGCTGATGAATTAACCGCACAAGAAAAATGAAAGTGAAGGGGAACAAAGAGAATCCAAATTGAATTGAATACAGTGAAAGTGAACAATTTGGAATCAAATAATGTTGTACCTGCTATAGTCGATTATGGGAAATGCTAATACTTCAATGCACCAAGACCGTGTAGGATGATTCAAACGAAAGGTAAGGATCGTGTGGTTTTATTTCAAAACTAGATTAATGGATTGACAAGAATGGGCACGAGAACAAAAAATGAGGATGGATTTGGATCGATGAAAGAGTAAGAAGGGTAGCGTGGTAAGATGGAGCCGTAAGATTGTACGAAAGCATATATTTTGCGTCATCTGGTAACGTACTATTTCTAGCTACCCTTATAATGGTATGTGTCAGGGTTGCTTTATGACAACGGATGTGGCATCTTATGAGAAGATTGATTCATGAAAGGAATACTTTAGGTAGGTCATCATGGAGATGGAGATGGAGATAGACCCCACAATAAAAATATTCAAGCCATAATTAATTGATTTTATGTGTCTCAACAAGCAGAACTTAACAAGAATGCCATATGGCCAAGGAGATAGCACGTCACTGTCTCATCCCATTGATATGATCTTTTATTCTTAAAGCATCATTGCATGTGTGGGGGTCAACCGAGATATTGTTTTATTAAGGTTAAATTATAAATTTAGTTTCAATATTTTATAAATGTTTTTAAACTTTTTTCTTTATAAAAAAAGTTATGATTTATTTTTTTATACGTAACGGTTTTAATTAGTTTTTACTGTTTAAAATTATATTAATTATAAGGGCTAAATGTATATTTTAATTAAAAAACTATTTTTAAAAAAAATAAGTATTGAATAAAAACATCACTAAAAATTTATATTTTTAAAAAATATTAATTTCAGTCCTTAATGAGACTGAGTTTAGACAATTAAATGTAGTAAAATTTGATTGAAAAAAATATTTATTTTACTTTTATAATAATTAAATATGTATTCTAACTAAAAACTAAAAAAAATGAATTTGTTTAGACCAAAGAATGAGGTAACTAATAAAAAATCATAAAATTGTAAAAGACTAAAATTTTATTTTAAATAAATTTATATGTAGTGTAGTTCTATATTTTAAGACAGTAAATTACATCTTTCTTATAAAGATTTTTTACAAATATTCTTAAGTAATTGATGTATAATAATAATTATAATAAAAATGTTAATATTAATACTTTATTTTTTCATTTGAAAATATGATAACAATAAAAAAGATATTAACTTTATTCTTAATTCTTAAGACTAAGTTTAAAGAATTATATAATAATAATATTATGAACGAATAGTTCAGTTAAAGATTTAAATATCTGTTGAACATAGAATGATACTTTTTTTTCTCTCTCCAACAATCATTTTCTTGTGTCTTTCAAGAAAAGGCAAAGGCAAAGGCGCCACTAGGTCCTCTCAACCTAGCCTCCCTGTAAAGAGTGGTGCGGGTTCAGTGTGTGTGTCATCTCGAAGGCACTCGCGAGGAAGGGAAATGTACTCTGTTCTCACTGCTCTTGTGGATCTATTGGAATGGAGCGAAATGAAATCGAGAAGCGGTCCATAGAAAAGTTAGATATGATGGATCGAAGCACCAAAAAGGTCAGGCTGGGGGAGAAAGATCAATGGAGGAGAAGATCTTGCATATGCAAGTGGATCAGTAACTTGGAGGTGTTCCAGCGAATCAAGTGTCTTCTTTACCTAATATCTCTAAATCCTATACCTATAAAGATAAAATATTAGAGTCAAATGACTTAGATCTAACCCTAAATGATGAAGAAATTGTCAAGTCTATTTTAAATGACCTTCATATTGATCCCGAGGATGAGGAGAATATTGAACCATCTGACATCTCTCAAAATTTATGCTCTGATATTAAGTTTTCTTTAGATGATTACGAACAGTGGTGTTCCCTTTTGAAGTTCACACTCACTATTAAACTTTTAGGAAAGTCAATTAGTTTTAACTACTTAAACCAAAAGTTAAATAATATTTGGGGGGAAATGAGGCGTTAAAAATTCTTGATCTTAATAATGACTTTTTCTTAGTCAAATTTGATAGCATAAAGGATTATAAACAGGTTCTTTTTGAAGGACCTTGCTTAATTTTAGATCACTACCTATTAGTCCACATATGGAGACCATTGTTTAAGGCAAAAAAAAAATTACAATTTAAGAAAGATAGCAGTTTGGATTCGTATTCCAGATTTATCCTAGAACTTTATAATAATAAATTTTTGTGGCAAGTTGAAAATTATTTAAGGCCTATGTTAAATGTTGATTCCCACACCTCCCTGATATCTAGAGGTAAATTTGTCAAGATTTATATAGAGATAAATCTAAGAAAAAATAGGTTCCAACCTTTAAAGTCTTAGGCCAAGAATTTAAGGTAAAGTATGAAGGTATGTACCTAATATGTATTAAATATAGAAAATATGAACACAGACAAGATCAATATACTGATAGCTTCAATTGTAGTCAGGTTGAGGTTGATCAGGGAGCAAATTGCATAATGAAAATTGTAGGGGAGACAGGGGATGTGTTAAATAATACTAAGGTGGTCAAGGATTTGGAAATGGTTGACCAGGACAATAATTTTGGGTTAGAAAAAGGGCACTTTACCCTTTGAATTCTAGCCAAAAAACTTGTTAAGAAAAAGGCAATCTTTCCTCAACCAATTGGAGCCCCTGTGAACTATGGTAGAAAGAAAGATCCCCAAGTGGGATCTAGGTTTGACATTTTTGGAAAGACTAACCTGTCTTAGAGCCAGAATTTAAATACTAAAAATTTAAAGTGAACTCAAAATAGTTTGGTAGCCCTAATCTAAGTGAAACCAGCAAAAAAACCCCTAAGATGAAACTCACACCCAGATATGGGAAAGCCAATAGAGAGAAAGATGGTATGATAAAACTGGATAAGTTATAAAACCTAAGCAAGAAACAGGAAAACCAGGTGACAAATACTGGCAATGAGAGTAGGGATACCTTTTTGCTAATAAAATATTTTAAAAATATAATTCAGGAAAAGTCTAAGATAGGACACTTTAGACAAGACCTCCTAGGCATAAATTCTGATATAATATGGAAGGACTAAGAGTCCCAAAAACAAATGCCAACAAATAGATCACCAGATGTTTCTCTAATAATGAACCTTGATAAAATGAATAACTCAAACTCTATTAAATTTGTAGATGTGTTAAATCTAGATAATCACAGGTAGTTGTCTGAGCATCTTGAAGATGCAACTAAACCTCGTTAAGTTGTTTATGAATTTGCCTTTTTTGAAACTGTAGGGAGTAGGAAGTAAGGATTTTTTTATAGGCTTATAAATGACCTTATTAGAATATACAAACTTGATTTTATTACCCTTTTCGAACCTAGAATTAGCTCTAGTAGGGCTGACACAGTTTTAAAGAAAATACACCTAGATGGTTGTGTAAAGATGGATGCTATAGGGTTTATTGGGGGAATATAGTGTTGCTGGAATAGTAAAAAAATTAGAGTAAGTACTTTAGAAAAAAAATAAATATATTGTCCAACTAAATATCAATAATGGACAATGGAGTTGGGTATTATCATCTATTTATGGTAGTCCCCAGGAGAGACTGAGAGCTAAGTGCTGGAACATGTTATCTGAATTCAACTTCATTGTAGATAAACCTTGGTGCCTTGGTGGAGATTTTAATTTAGTTCTTTACCAACATGAAAAATCTGGGGGTAGACCTGCAAATGTTAGTCTAATCTAGTAGTTTGCAAATTGTCTAGATACATGTAGGTTACATGATTTGGGTTTCAAAGGAAACTCTTTCACTTGGCATAAAGGGAATATAAAGGAAAAAATTGATAGAGTTGTGGTAAATGACTCTTAGAGAATGTTGTTTCAGAGCAACTCCCTAATCCACATCCCTATTCACAAATCTGACCATGTAGGTCTCTGGCTTAAAGTTATAGGTAAGGATAGTTTTTAGGCTTATAACAAACCCTTTAAATTTCTAGTCTCCTATATACATCATAATGATTTTGCTAATCAAGTTAAAAATTCTTGGGTAGCCTCTAAATCATGGAATGAAAACATTACCTATTTCCAGAAAAAACTTAATTGATTGGAATTTTAATATTTTTGGAAATATTTTAAAAGAAAAAGGCAATTACTGAATAGAATTAGGGAGATCTCTTGTAAACTAGCCCTAGGTGAGAATCTCTTCCTAAACAACCTTATGAAAACTTTGCAAATTGATTACCAAAAAAATTTTTAGCAGAAGGAAATGTATTGGTCTCATCACTATAAATCAAAGTGGGTAAATCTAGGTGATAAGAATAACAACTTCTTCCATAAAACTGCTTTAAATTGTAGGCAAAAAAAATTCTTATTGAAGCCCTTAGAGATGACTTGAACAATTAGGAATTTGACCCTCATGATAGATGATGTCAAGTCGCTATCAAAACAACTAAGTTCTCTAAGGATTTTGTAGTATAGAGGTAAACCTAAGTCGATTCACAAAGACACATTTTCAATTAAATTCAATTTTAGGTTTTCTTTTAAATAATGCGAGTAAACTTTTGGGGGTTTGAAATTTGTAAATGAATTAAATTAAACTATGAACAAAATAAAATTGAGTAAAAAAAATGAAGAAATATCAATTCACAGAATACCAAATGCGTATAACTCTGATTATCACGGTATTTAAATATTTTAATCCGAATTTGAACGTTTACCCAATTTAATTATTAATTTAATCGAATAACCTAATTGAACTAGATCATGGATTAAATCAAATTATCATTTAACCTAAACTAAATTAATTATCAAATTAGAATATCAATTGAATCTTAATTTTAATTTTAACAACAGAAAAGTTAATCATAATTGCAATACACAAATCTGAGGTTAGAGAACAAAGAAACAAACTCGAAGCAATTTGACCCAGAACTCAAATCAGAATTACAACATTTGAAGTTTTTGGATTGAACGGGAGGTTTAGCCTTCCATTGAAGCACTAAACCCATGTAAGGATGAGAAGAGAACAAGAGAATTCGAGAGAAAGTAAAAACAAAAATTCTTATTTCGGCCAAATCTCAAAAAGTTAAAGTGTCTAATCCAAACCCCCTAATTCAAAACCTTAGTAGTTTATTTATAGGTTCTTATTAGGGTAAACTAAATGGCCAAAATTCGGGCCTTAATTATAACCATCAGCCTAATTACAATTATCTAATAATAAAGGGCCCCAATGCAATCTCGCAACAATATTCAACAAAATTGT